TTTTTTATGTAGTAGTATTATATTAAAACTCAACCAAGAAATAAGTTCACAGAGATCAAAGTGTGCAGCAAGAACATTGTACATGACTCTCTGAGTAACAACCAAAACAACACAGACCCACTTATAAACTAAACAGACCCACCACATTCTCTCTCTGCAGACTTCATTTGCAAATCTGCTACTCTTAAGAAACCAGACCCAGCCCCCTCTTCAGCAACGTGCAGTCACTCACCACTGATCCCAGTGATCCTGTGATCCTTCTTCCGCAATGATTCCCACTAACATCCTTACTGCCATTCACTTCTCCAAAGCCCCCAAATATTCTGATACAGTCACACTGACAGCTAAACATCCTAACAATAGACATTGGATGTATTACACTGCCCTTGCTCACATGAATGTTCAATTATGCATCAATGCATGTTTAAAAAATGATCAATTATGCAGCAGCGTTCTGCCCCAGTCTATCACCCTCCAGAGAATTTGAAAGTTTCCGGTGCCATATGCTTATCAACCTCACATTGTTGTTGATAAATTAACCCTGCCATGCTATCGTAGGGTATATAGATATTCATACTTAGTACGTGACAAATTCAGAAAATTTGACTTACATTGAAACATTGTAGATGCAAATATGCAATAGCTCTAGAATGTGAATGAACCAACAACCTTTTGAGAAAGTACCATTTCATTATTATTACAGTATGAGATAACCATCATAGGTTTTATCTTAGGAATCGAAAACTTGTGATTTCCCTCCATGAGTTCTTATTTTCATTATCTAACTGAACCTGCATTCAATAGTAAACTAAAGAAACCCAAGAGAACAATTTATTTACAAAAGAAAGAAGTCAACCAGACGATAAAATTTTTATAAATTATAATGCTGCAGACGTTGAAACTCCTGATGACCAAATAGGGGTAAAAAAAAAAGACAAACAGACATGAAAAGCCAACTCTCTTCAAAACTTTGCTTATTCTATTCTTCTGAAATCTATTTTAAAAATTATTATCCCCCGAGATGCATATATGATTCTAAAGTGTTGAGCTAAAAGTTGAGCATGGACACTCAACAGTGGCAGATAAATTGACTACAAGGATGACTCAATTTGTTGTTCGACAAGGATGACTAAAGGGTCAAATCTTTGGGGTCCTCGATGATCTTTGCTAGAGTTTGCAGGAATGAAGCCAGATCAGCACCATAGATGACACGATGATCAGCAGTAACATTCACCTGCAGAAGTCACATTGCATGAAAGTGGCTTTAGTTAAGCTCTACCTACTACCGACATCAGGTCCACATTTTTTAAAGACCATTAAATAATTATTACCTGCATCTGGCTTTTCAAACCAATCCGACCATCTTTAGTACCAACTAGGGATGGCTGAGATGCTCCAACAGCCATGATTGCTCCCTGCAGCAATACAACCCCAAAGAGACGGTCATTGACAAAAGATAGAATTAGTGATTTCTATGATAAAATTACTTTGTCAAAGTACTTCACTATTTAGGTGTTTATTCACTTACAGTTCCAGGAGGCAAAATTGCATCAAAGCGATCCACACCAAACATGCCGAGATTCGAAAGAGTAAAAGTACCTGCAATACCATATAAGGGATCAAACATCGATGACAACGCGAACAACATAAACAAGAGCAACATGAACTGAATGACGAACCCCTGATATAGATGGTAAACATACACGTTACACCAAGAAAATATAATGCAACTGAGACTTTGCAGGAACAGGTCATCAGGTCATGAGCCTAATCCAGAGTTTCGAGATTAATGCATCATGACTATTATCATGGCAGCCTTCTTCAAACTAAGTACCACTATAGTTTCTTCAAAAGTAATATGGTATTACTAGCAAAATACCTTCAGAAGTCATGAGCATAAACCCCTATTGCAAGGTTGAGACTATACATGGTCCTCAGCTAAACAATATTTTAGCTCTATTAGCTGGGTTAGGAATCCTAACTTAGGAGTGACCATACAAAGCATTTAATGCACTCCAATTTAAAGAAGGCCCTGCTCGTTTCAACATAACCTAATATCATAGTTTTGGAATTCCTAGTGAATGTTTTAGTAGCTATGCAATCCAGAAGACATGAGTCTGTAGTCTGTACTAACAAACTTTTGTATTACATAACAGTCAATAAAGAATCAATCTACTTTAACTAACAATTAGCTATAAGGAAAATAGCTCGCTATATTAATGTATAGCACATCCTAAGATTTCCCCATATTAGAGTTTCATTGTACATAATCACATAGCACTCCATACGACAAACCCAACTCTAACAAATGGTAACCCAAATAGTTAAGGAAATCTTAATATGTATCCCACTAAACTAGAATAACAGGACGCACAGTTATAGTCTCTGTTTAATTGGCAGAGTGGAATTATTCCCGCGTAGTCTAGTGTAAATATCGGAAAGTCAAGTTAATTTCCTAAAATATCTCCTCAAAAAACAGATACAGCCTTAGGAATATAAAATTAGAAATGCTTCTTCTTTTTTCTCTTTTCCCTCATTTTTCTCTTTCGATGTCCTCTAAGCATTCTGTGACACTGAAATCTATTAATATACAACATGAACCTTTCAACAGCAATGCAAGTGTGAAACATTGGTGTTAGAGAATAAGGATTGATACATGCATTATTTAAGGCCTTTAATCAAACATATAAATTACCTAAAAAAGCATATGTCACAGGGAAATGCACGAGTTTGCACCGAAAATATAATCATTAATAAAGACATAAATACACCATTCGGAAATTGAGCACGGTAAATGTACCGAGAGCAGTACCTGTTGTGTATTCATGGGGTTGCAATTGCTTGGCCCTAGCCTTCTCAACCAGTTCTTTCCATTTTCTTGACAATGTGTAGATATCGACCTACAATATCCATTTAAAGTGAACTCCAATAAGCTCAAACAAAAATCGTCACTTGTTGCAAACACATACTATCAGCCAAAACGATACACAAAGATAGAGATAACAAAAACCTTATCAGCGTCTTGAAGAACTGGAGTAATCAATCCACCATCAATAGCTACAGCAACTGCAATGTTGATGTTACTGTTGTAAGTAAAGCTACTACCATCTCTACAGCTGGAATTTACGACAGGGTGTTTAACCAAAGCAAGAGCAGTCGCCTTTGCAAGCAATGCAGACATAGTGACACCCTTTGTCTTAATCTGTCAATTTTAAGAAATACATTTCAAATAAAGAGATCAAATGAATAAACTACAGTTGAAGATATCATCATAATCAAGTAAAAGTTTTTACCTTTTTGTATAGACTGTCAAGAGCATCAGTAGTAATTGTATACCCAACTCTAAATGTCGGCACTCTAAGACTCTCAACCATATTCCTACTCACTGCACCCTGCATTGTTGTAAATGGAACAACAGAACCCAATTCAACACTCACAGATGGAGCTGAAGCAGTAGCCGGTTTAGAAATTCCAATTGCAGGAGTCAATGCAGCAGAGGCAGCAACTGCCTCAACATCTTTAGCAACAATTCTTCCCAATGGACCAGTCCCCACTACTGTAGTCAGATCCACCTTTAACTCATTTGCAAGCTTTTTTGCATAAGGAGATGCAACAACTCTTTTACCTCCTTCAGAAGCTGGGTGAATTGAAGAGGCAGCAGTAACAACAGCTGGCGCTGAAGGCTTTGGGGACGGTGGTGGTGGAGGAGGAATAGCATTATCTACTGAAGTTTCAATAGGTTTTTCACTAGCCGGGGACGAAGAAGGTGAAGACGACGAAGCTTTTGATCTAGCTTCATCAATTTCATCTTCAGTTTCAGCAAGAATAGCAATAGCAGATCCAACAGCAGCGATACCACCTTCATCAACCATAATTGCAGCTAAATAACCATCATAAAAAGTTTCAACATCCATATCAGCTTTATCAGACTCAACAACAACAACACTTTCTCCTTTGGAAAGCTTATCACCTTCAGATTTGATCCAAGATACAATCTTTCCTTCAGTCATTGTTGAACTTAATGCTGGCATAAAAATCTCACGGATCTTAGCTTGAACTCTTGTTCTTCTAATTGGTGCTGGAATCGATGAAAAATTAGGGTTTCTTCTTAATAACTTTGTTGATGAAGTAAATGAAGAAGAACCAATGTGAAGCAAATTCGCCATTTATTCAAATGTGGCGAAAACAAAGAAAAGAATAGACTGATGATTGGAGAATAAGAAGAAGAAAGAATGGAAATTCTTATGAGTAATTGGGTTTAACGTGAGTTTCAATTAAAAGGGATTCTCGAGTACATCTACAGAAGACGGAGATTTCTACATCGACAGAAGACGGAGATTTCAATGTGAATCTCTCTGAGTCTGAACCTACTCGGTCTAACTCTTAACCACCGAGGAGTCTAATGTCTCTCTGTTTTTTCAGTCAAATTAATTTAGTGCAGGGTTATGGGTTGAATTAAGTGAGATCCATCAAGTCCATTAATTTGGGGCTATGGGCTGTCAGTCAAAGTTTTTCTTATCCAACAAGATACCACCTTGGGCTGTCATGTAGCAATCAAAGAAGAGGCAGCATGCTTAGTTGCTCAAAGAGATT